GGTTTGCAATCCCTGTTGTGACTGACCCAGCAGGAGAGGGAGGGAAAAAGGAGGGAGAGGCTGAAGGGAGGAAGCAACGGCACTGCACACAGGGTCCACGTTGACACAGCAATTAAAACCAAACAAACACAACCAAAACAAGAAAGAAAACAAAACACAGCCCAACTTACTGATGTTGTATTAGTAACCCCTCAATAAATGGATGATTTAGGAGACAAACCACATCTGCAACTGAAGACCTTTGATGCCTGTTGCACTCGCATTGGCTTTCTTCACTTACAACTAAAGCCAGCACAGGCACGTACTGTTTCACAGCTTGACTGTGTGATTCTCCTTGTCCAGCTCTGCCCGTCTTCACTTCTCTGAAGCGTGGCAAGGCAACACGGACTGTAACACTTCTTTTTGTGTTCTCCTTTTCCGTTCCTCAGTGCAGCTGACCCATTGGCATTGTGCCCCTGGGTGCAGGAGATGTGCTGCTCTGGCTCCGGCAGTAGCAGTGGGTGCCACCAGGCTGGGAGCAGTTGTGTGTCTGTCTGTCTGTCCGTCCATCCCCGGCTGCGCTCCCCTCTCTAGCAGGAGTTGGTGCAGCTGCTGTGCTGCAGTGCCCTGGGTCACGGCTGCAGCAGGGCATCTGGGACAGTGGAAACCCAAACCATCTACAAATGGCCCTAAATTATTACGTGGTTTTCAGCAACGCTGTGTATCACGAAGGAATGCTTTTGCAGAAACCGCTACCGCAGGGCTCCAGACCCCTCTGGATGCTGTTATAATTCATATGCTACTAATTGGCTACCATTTGCAGATGAGAGGTGAGTCTCTGAAAATGATGGGTTTTTTGGTTTTGGTGAGAAAATGTCACCGGAGGGGAGTTTGCTTGATGTTTCTCTCCCCTTTAGACTTCAGAAAGTTGTGTCACAGTAGTTTCTTATCTTTGTGAACTCTAAATTAGTTTTAAAAATGTGTCAGAAAGCCATTAGGTCATTTTAGGACCATTACCTTCAGCTGCTATTATATTTTTCTGTTCAAAAATTCCCTCTCCAGGTCTCTAATTTGAATAATAAGACTTAAAGACACAAATATTTTGTAGTTAATGAGAGGTTTCTTTTTTTGTGTTTTTTTTTTTTTTTTAATTAAATGTAGTTGTTTCTTTTTTTGACACTAGCTGCTTTCCTGTATTCTTTTATTAGGTCTATTGAAGACATCAGATGCTCAGGCACTCTCTCTGCTTCTCTGTGTTTGGCGTCTGGGTTTCTCCCCTTCCAGATCTTCTCTGACAGATCTTTAAATCTTCTTCTTCTTCAAGTGAGTGAAAAATAGTTACACTGGCTGTTTGCAGCTTCATTTTCTGTGTCTGTTCACCTTTCCTCCCCCCCCTACTTCTGTACCACCTACTTTCTGTACTGTCCTTGTCCTTTCTCTGTGTGCTTTGTCCAACAGAAGCCTTGATCATTGTCATCAATAGATTGCCATCTGCTACCTGTACTTCATTGGCTTTCATGTTTCTATTATGTTGAATACGCTCAGGAAGAGATGTGAGACCTTTTAAACATGAATTGCTATAACAAGCAGAGTGCAGAGCATTTAAAGCAACTTATTAAATCTACCTCAGTTTGAGGAGGCACAGAGGATTTTTTTTTTTTCCTGGGTGTCACAAAACATTGCACATTTAATCTGGGTGATTGTAAGTCTAGCTCTTCTGATGGACTTGTGTCTGAAAGCATTTGGTTTATTATGTGTACAGGATTTGTGTTTTGTACTGACTGTTGGTGTCTAAGACTCCAAGACTATGTTGGCGGAGCTTGTTGAGGCTGTCCTCAACCTCTCATTTGGCATAAGAGCTTGAAGCGATATTTCTAGTGCATGTGATGAGCTTCTCTTACTCCTGCTGGCTACTGTATGGAGGAGACAGACCAGAACGAGAGCACATCACGTGGAAGGTGGATTTAAAATTTTTACAGGTGCAACCTTTCTTCATCTGCCACTGAAAAAAAATAAAGGCCTGGCTGCTGTCATCCAGGATGCGACCTGGGAGATCTGTGGCTTGTAATTTTTATTTTTTTTTTTTTACATGCTGTTACCCTTGGGTTGATGGAACAGTTCACGTGTTGCTTCTGCTTCATTGCCTTCTTCACAGATGTGCTGTCAGGAAAATGGAGGGTGAGAGCTGCAAATTAAATAGATCTGAAATCTTAACTGCCTCATCACTTGCTTGCTGACACGTGAGGGTCAGGTGAACCACACCTATTGCTCCTTCTGCGTTTGGCATCATGATGTTGATGAGTGGAGTGAATTGGGTAGCGTAGTTCCCTGTGAGTGAAAAAGAGCATGGGAATCTCGCTCGAAATGGAATGGGGTTGTCGGGAATGACTTGCAGTAAATAGGAAGGAATGATGTGGGAAGACTGAGGGAAAGATAGCAATGAGAAATGTTGTGATGGTGTTTGGTTTTAGGTTTTGTTCTTGGGATCACTGCTGAAGAAGACTGGAAAAGTAACAAGTAAGGAGGTAGATGAGGAATGGCTTAATCTTTTTTCAAAGCATGCTGAAAAAAATCCTGCGTTTCTGGTAAGAAATAAATGTGTTACAAGCTATGTAGCAACACAGTGGAGCTGTGAAATGTTGTCTTTCAGGAAGAGACATGAGGAATTCAGCGTTTCACGCCTCAGTAAGGCAGGGTTAGTAGGTGCTGTGACCACCATCTATCAGTGCACACATGAGGAACAGGAAAATAATGAATAAGGAACTTGTTTTTCCAGCAAACAAAGAGAGCTGGAAGTTGATACTAGTAAAATTGAGGCTGAGGATAAGGTGACCATTTTTAGATCTTAAAGGAATTATCAAGTGGAACAATTTTTAAAGTGTTGTTTAGTTCTGTTTTAGGGGATACTTGAAAACTAAGATGAGGTGTTTCTCACAAAAGACAGATAAGTTTCAGATAAATCAGAGCTACTGGACTTGAAGCAGGAATTAAAACAGAAAAATAAATCTGGTGACTTGTATTCTCCAGGCTAATAATGAATTGGTGAATTAGGGACCCCCCTACCACTGCCTGATAGTCATTAGGGAAGTGTTACAGGCTAAAGCACCCATTTTCTGGATCCTTCTTTTTATTTATTTGCACAAAATGGAAACACTTATTTTTTGGAAGTTAGTTGTCCGAAGTAGACAGCTTGGTACTAGGTGGCTGTATCAGCAGAAGTCCTAGGACTAGACTTAGAAAGACTAAGATAGAAAATACATGTGTAGCGCTGCTCATTTGAAGTGCTTGTTGTGTTGCTTTGGCATCCTGTTCCCTTGATCCTGCCATCACCTGTCCTCTGTGTCTGTCCCACTGTCCTGGAGCGAGAAGGACTGTCCCCAAGGAGAGGAAGCTGATCAGCATCTCAGGGGACTCGACTGTGGATGTAGCTGAACACCACCCAAGAAGGCTATATACCTGCAGGTTGCTGTCCTGCAATATCCGTCTGCAGGCAGCGCAGAGAAGCTGGATCTTTGTATTGTCTTGGGGACATTATAGAAAATACTGGCTCTTACAGGATCTTCATGTGACTGTGAAGAATGTTGCAGACTCACAATGTTTCAGGCATAGGGCTCTGGCCCCATACAGCAGTGATTCCTGCTCCTGTATGGGAGGAAGAGGGGAGAAGTGGAGGACATTTTGCAGCTGCAACCAGTCAGCCCTGGACCAGATCCCCAGGATGAATATGGGCATTGCCAGTGCATTTCTGAGGTTTTGAGAAACTGCAACAGAAAAATCTCTCTGTCCCTTGTGATAGATTATCATAGCTTAAGCTAATGTCTCCTAAATACTTCAAGTATTTGAGTCATTGTAAGAAAACAACTTAATTCTATCCCATTGATTTCTAAATGGGGGCAGTGGTGATAATGTATTGCTGATTTAGTTAAAGTTTATTTGCTTACATAAGGAAAGGAAAATTTGTTTGACAAAAAAGTGAAGTATTTATGGATTTGCATGCTCTGATCTATACCATTCTGGACGAAGTATCATTCTAATGTCTTTCAGATTTTGCCAGGACCTTTGCTATGGATTTGAAATTTATTTTAAGATTTGACTGTGGAACAAATCAAACCAATAATTTAGTTTAACTGAAGAAAGAATGAATTAAAGCTCTTAAAAGTGTATTTGGTAGGTTACAAAGAAATTCTTGTATACTTAATCCACAGACACAGAAGCATACGGTGCTGTGTGTTCATGTAAATTGACATGCTGGGGCAAACCCCACCTAGTTCTCCAATCCTGAAGTCAGTGCAGAATACATAAATCTATAGAATTTACAGTGGGGAAAAAAAACCCAAAACCTTACGTGAAATAAGAATAATTATAATTCCAGTTTATTTAACTCTAAAGATAAATGAGAATGTGTTCACGTGCAACACGACATTTATTGCATTTTGTAAAAAATCCTGTATTTCCCTCTGGTTTCAGTATATTTTTCTAGAACTCTTACTAATGTTCAGGAGAGAGATATCAGCTATTTTAATTTATTTGTATTGACACATAATCAAAACACTCTCCCCTCTTCCCTGCAGAGAAGGGGATACACTAGCGCAGAGCACAAAGCAGTTACGTGTTAGTGTAGGTGGGTCACTGAGTTTAGAACTATTTTACAAAGTCAGTGAAATTTATGGTCTATTCAGATACTTACCTCATCTCCTTCCCTACAGAGGGTTTTTTTTTTCTGTGAGAGGCTTTTGTTTGCTTTTAAACTGAGGGAATGGTCTAAAGAAAAGCTTTTGCTTTTTCTGTCTAAAATGGAAATGCAAGAATGGATATACTTTGTTAAAACTGCTGTAGTAAATGTTGGCTCACCTTGATTTGTAATGAAGGATTACTGTCACAGTTAGTAAACTCATGTGCTGTGATATCCCTGGACTTTACTGATTGCCATTCAGTTAACCAATATTGAATGACATCCTTGTTTTCTGATAGAAATTTCCTGTAATCTGTGATTTCACACAGTCCTGATTGCCTTTCTGCAGCTTGGAGGTTGCCAGCCTGACGCGGGCAGATGCTGATCTGGAGGCATATCGAATGCAGATATGCAAAGAAGTGATTGCTATGATGATGAAGAACATGGTCTTAAGTCACAGCCTCTTTCCTCATGTGGAGAAAAAGATGAGTTCAATTTTCAAAAAGCAGTTTCTTGCAATGGAGAAAGAGATTCAAGAGGAGTATGAAAGGAAGATGGTGGCTTTAACAGCTGAATGTAATCTGGAAACTAGGAAGACAATGGAGGCTCAACACCAAAAAGCAAGAAATGCGAATGAAGAGGCTGAAGAATTAATGAAGAAAATTAATGAAAAGGTAAATCTGGTGTAAAATCAAGGTATTTTGCATGGTATGTCATTTTATATAGATGGTTTCTCTTTTAGACTAGAATGGTGGACTTGTCCTCCGAGACAAGAGCTCTTGAGTCCTCAGCACAAGAAAGACATGGACCTGCTCGAGCGAGTCCAGAGGAGGGCCACAAAAATGATCAGAGGGCTGGAGCACCTCCCCTGTGAGTGCAGGCTGAGAGGGTTGGGGTTGTTCAGCCTGGAGAAGAGAATGCTCTGGGGAGACCTTATAGCGGCCTTCCAGTACTTAAAGGAGGCCTGTAAGAAAGATGGGGGTAAACTTTTTGGTAGAGCCTGCTGCAATAGGACAAGGGGTAATGTTTTAAACTGAAAGAGGGTAGATTTAATCTAGATATAAGGAAGAAATTTTTTACAATGCAGATGGTGAAACATGGGAACAGGCTGCCCAGAGAGGTGGTAGAAGCCCCATCCCTGGAAACATTCAAGGTTGGACGGGGCTCTGAGCAACCTGATCTGACTAAAGATGTCCCTGCTCACTGCAGGGGGGTTGGACTAGATGGCCTTTAAAGGTCTCTTCCAACCCAAACTGCTCTGTGGTTCTAAGAGAAAAGCTGTACAATTTAAATGTGTTCAAAAATTTCAGATGTCATAATTAGGGTAGTTGTTCTTATGAAACTATGTTTTAATTCACCAGAAAATGAATTTATCTCAGGAGAATCTGTGATACCTGAAAACAACAAAAGGTTGTCATTACCCTTATTTTATTTATGGTCACTTAAACCTTTGCAAAGTTGTTTATTTCTATTTACAATAATTTACTGCATTAGTTCCTAAGAACTCCAGTCAGACACTGTGTAAATGTTTTGCACATTCAGAGCAGAGCAAACTCTCTGCATCATAAACCTTACAATCTAGGTAAAAAGCCTCCAATATTGATATTCTTACTTTGAAGAAAGTGAGAATATAAGTGCGACAGAAGGCTGATTTCCTCCAAACTGAGTGAAAGCAAGCGGAACAGTCTATATTTTAGGCAGAGCAGGGAGTGGACTTCTCTTGGAAATAGCCTCTGGATAATAGTGAGATAAATGATTTAAGCCAGAGTATGATTCTTTACAAGTTTAGGATGTCCCATTAACAAAACGCTTAGTGTTTATGTGTATAACTTTCATTCAAATATCTGTCTGAATGGGTATTGTTACCTGGGACTTCATAGGTAGTCTCTAGCTGGAAATAAGCCCAGGACACCAGTCCAACATCCTATGTGCAAAAATATGCTCCAGTCTACCATGTGTTTTTTCAGGTATGTTGAATGTTTACAATATACTTACTTCCACAGTCATCCCACTTTGTTTTTTTACTTCATGTGTCTGGAGAGGATTCTGTAACGTTTGGAATATTTCACCTTTGTAAGATTAAAATGCTGAAAAACCCAAGTTAATGTTTCATACTTGTCTAGTGTTGTAACTCATATTAAGAGGATGACTTGGTGGGAGTAAATAGTGCAGTTTGTTACTACCAGTGGGGCTTTGCTTCTGGAGCACAAGTGGATATGTGGGTATTGAATGTGATGCTGCTGACTTTCCAGCGGTCTGTTTCAGTTCAATTATAGAGACCAAAGAAGTTACGTTAGGAATATAATCCCTTAGACCAGTATATCGCTTACACGTGCTTGTGTACACTCTCTTTGTAGGCATTACTCAATTTTTTTGCCTTCTGTTGTTTTTTGGTGTTTTGTGGGGTTTTTTTAAAAGCATTTTTATTTGCATGTCATATACCTTACCTACCTTTTATGACAATATATGGTTGCAGTTTTGACAAAAGAAGTTTTTTGTGGAGCATGACCCATCAAAGGTTCTACAGTATGTTGAGGCTCTTGAGAAGAAGTTTGGTTTATCAGGCTGTTGTGTGGAGAAAGTTGATGGCACAAGGCTAGTGAGCCAGTTGAATTTCTTTGATGTTTCCAGGTGAATTTTAAATACTGACTTTAGGGAGTTTTCATATATCTAGGATATGAACATCCTGAACTAGAGCTGCTAGAAACTCAAAGGAGATGGCAAGGAAGGGATACTTGTAGACATCTTTTTATGGGTAAGGTGAATTGCACTGTACAGAAATCTTTTTCCTTCTGTTGGTTATAGAAGGAGCCTAGACTAGATGTCTAACACTTAGAAAGACCTGTCTAACATAAATCCTGCCTTTGCAAAGAGAGGGACCTGACTTAAACTTAGTAGGTGAACTCTCACTAAATACACTCTCAGCAAAGCTGCTTTTCTTTGCTCAAAATACATTGGTATTAATTCAGTCTGGTTTATGTTGGAAATCCCAAATGGTAGGAATCAAACAAAGAATTAAGGCAAATCCAATAATTGTCCTGATCAATTTATCAAGTACTAACATCTTGCTGTTCACTTTCCTGTCTGTGGAAGGACCCGTTTTTGTACTTGCCATGGAACCTGGTCCAAAAGGAGGTGCCAGAGTGCTAGGGATGGCCCACACTTGTGCTCCTGGCAGAGGGTGTACTGATGTCCAAGAGATGGCAGTGAAAAACAGCTGGAGCAATAACCTTCCCCCCTTCTCAGCCGAAACACGAATTTATATTCCCTGTCCTTTGATTAATTATTTGCTGTCTGCAGTGTGTCTCTTGGGAATGAGGGGTGAGGTGTGCAGGAGGCTCAGTGTAGAGGACAGTTCTCCCCAGATAGATAATACGAAATTTAGAACAAGACCAACATAACTACTGATAGGTAGCTCTGCTGGCATAAGAAGCATTCTTTGCTCCATGGGATGTGTATGTTTTGATTCTATAATGAGTTTCTGCCATCTGATATTAAAACTATGAATGTGTAAGTCTTACTTGGAGAACTATGAGAAAGTATTCCTTGCGAAGGAGCTTTTAAATTAATTGCCATTTAATTCTACTCCATTGTTATAACTCTAAAACAATGCTCTTGGATGAGTTTGTAGAAACAAATAGATAAAGTAGGTGTCCAATAATAAGAACTTCTAGAGATCTGTAGTAGAATATTTTTTTCTAATTTATATTGTTTTTAGAATGTATGCCTATTGTTATTTCATTGTTCTGACTTATACGAGTCTATTCAATTTTAATGGGATTTCAGGATTGATGAAACCTAAGAAATTCATTTCATATGTAGTCTTTGTGTTGAATTTTGTGCAGTTTTGTATAATTTATGTTAATTAATGCTTCTAAATTCTAAAAAGACTTTGTTAGCTCTGGATGAGAGATTGGTGGCTTTATAACTGCTGTGATTCCAAACAGATGAAAACCATGGAAAGTGTACATTGATTCAGTATTAGCCTTCATTCAAACCTGAAATGACAGTAATCAGAGTAAGTGTAAAATAGGTATGAGCTCGTGGTACTGATACTTCAAAATATGTTAAATACTGAAAATCACTTAGATTTATTTATTTCCCTTTTCTCTGCAGCCTGCTGTAGAATACAGAAGTCTTCTGGATAGACTTCACAGACTGGAGGAGGACCACCTGAAGAGGTTCCTTCTGGTAAAGCAGGAGGAATATTTTGCAAAAGCTTATAGACAACTGGCTGTTACCCAGAGAAAGGAGCTCCATAATATCTTTTTTACACAGATAACTAATGCTACTTTCAAGGGAGAACTGAAGTTGGAAGCAGCTAAAACATTAGTGGAAGATTACTCTAAAATACAGGTAATAGGGTGATAACTCCATTCCTAACCTAATGACAGAATACAAACCCACAGTAACTTTTGAGAAATGTTTCAGGAAATATCTGCACTCATAGAACTCTAAAAGAAATTATCCATATGTTATCACACTTATAACTAATTTTCATAGGAATAATTTTTGTAAGTATAATGCCATCTGCACAACTGTGTATTGATGCATATGCACAGCCTTTTTCTACAACATTGAGTTAGATGTATTTATCACAACATTATGTGCTTAATGTTGACTTCTGTTTTCATGGATAATATTTCCAAAGCACCCAAGCGCTTAAAGCTTGTCTTTACTGCTCAGGGAAGATAAGACTAGTAGCTCACCTGCATTATGCAGAAGAAAGGAGTTTGACAACATAGCTACACCATGCAGTGGGAAATTGTGTAATATAAATCCCCAGTTTTGCAGTGAATATTTTGATACATCTGCACATCTTGGCACTCTGCTTAACTCCTGACAGCTCTGTTGGTGCATCTTTGCCCCTAAGTCCTCCCCCACAGGATGATCTGAGAGTCCAGGTCTACCCTTACTTGGTGTCCATGGGACCCTCAGCATGGTACAGAAAAAAAGTGTGCCATTTTCAAAAGTAATTTCAGCTCAGATAAAGGAATTTAGGCAATTCAGAGAACAGTTAGGTACCTAAATCTGTTTTGTGAATGGAATTTCTAAAACAGATCAGATGCTGTCTAATGAATGGTAAGTACCTTTGGAGGCCTGTCTGTATAGGCATTTTCAAAACCTCCTAGGCATCAAGTACTTTTCTGTACTTCAGAAGATGTACTGAGCCACCCAATCCAAATATGTAGATTATTGAAATTGTGGTATGTCCAATTTGCTATGGTTTTGTACTTTGAGTGCCTCTACCCTGCGTGGTCGGAGATGCTGATGAAGCATTGAGTTAAGTTAGAGTTAAATTGGTATAAACTTACTGTTTTTCACTTGTAAGAGCTTTTAAACTTTGCCCTGTTAATGAACAAATCTGGTCTGATACCCACAGGTGTTAGCTGAAATTAACATTACATCTAACTAAATATATTTGTTCACATTCTTTCCTGCAGGGAGACGTTGAAGAGCTAATGGATTTTTTGCAAGCTAACAAGAAGTATCATCTGAATAGAAGATTTGCTTACAGAGTGTATCTTATAAGTAAAATACAGTTAAGGGATTCTCAAGCCTCTACTCTTATAAATGAAGCAGCAACCCAGATATCAAGTCTCATTAATAAGATGGCAAGGTAAAGATCTCAATTGTTTTCTTGGCATTTGACTATGTTATCTCAGAGACAGTAGAAGAATCTTGAAAAGTCTTTGTGTTACCGAGCAGGAAAAGTGCATAAAAATGTTACCTTTTAAGTTGATTCTAAGGAAATATTTTGTAACCAAATACTCCGTTAGTTAACACCATGTCAGACAGTAAGGTGAGGCTTCGTTGTCTATGTCCACTTTGTACAGCATGGAGATGAATTGCTGCGAACGTTTATAGTGCCTGTTTGTAATTTTGACTTCAGTGGGAACCAAACTTATGAAAGAGTCTCAATGTCTTTATACAGCCATTATTCATGTAAATAGTCCTCAATCATGTGAAAAGTCCCGCCAGTGTCCATTGCAGCATGTACCAGTTAAGACCATTTGTCTGGGTTCTTTACATGCAAATATCTGGATTTAACAGAAAAGAACAATTTTGATTCACTTGTGATTGCATGTGTTTGAGAAGCTAGATGTACAGTCTCAAGCTGGAAAGCTTGAGTATTTTCTAAAGAAAGTTGACTAAGTTTATAAATGCTGTGACTGCGGAGGATCATGACTAGCAGAGAATACACCTGTTGCAGGGACTATTAAAAACTAAACGTCAGATGAAGTAAAAAGTAGACCTGGAAATCGACTGTTGCAATACACTCATTTAATTTATTGGGGATATCTTAACCAGATCCAGGCTGATTCCAGTACTCCGTGTGAGGATAAAAATGGTAACTTACCAGAGATGTAGTTTCTGTGGCATATCTTAGTTTGGCATACGGAGAGATTACTGAGGATCATGCTAGTGCAGTAAAATACGTTAGTGGATAGGAAAGCAATCCAACACTGCTGCTGTTGATCCTGTGCATGCAGCTTTATTTGTGTTTTTGTTTTTTGGGTTGGTTTTTTTTTTTTTGTAACCTTTCATTGCCCTTTTTGATTGTCCTATGTGGTGGCTCATTGGAATCATACCCTAAGTTTAGCTTCAAGATTTGTTCCTCAGAGAGAGGTTCTTTGAATACGCTTGCAAAGCTTTGCCTGTTTTGCTAACATCTGCAGCTTTGTGGCTCAAAGATAAAAATAAACATCTTTGCATAGGAAATATAACTCAGATAGATCTTTCGCAGAGTTCCCTTCCCTTGGTTCATGCCTCTCTCTGGAATCAGATTACAAGAAATAGTCTGAGACGTTTTCACAGGTGTTGTGGTTATGTGAAAAGCCTTCCTGAGAAACTCTCACTTGTATGACCACTGCATATGTGGCTTAAATCATTGCGATGAAAAACTGTGACGTCTCAAGCTGGAAAAAGAGGTTCCACTCAGTGTTTAATGCCTGTTATGAAGCAGATCAACTACAAAACAGAGAGGAAGTGTGTAGTACTGCTAATCCGAGACCTTGTAGAACTTCTCCCAAAAAACGTCCAAAAAAAAAACAAACTCCCTCCTCAAGCCCCAAAAGCTTCCAAAACCAACAGGCATCATAACGAAGATGAAAAATTATTTTTTTCCAGCACTCCCCTATTAAACTTCTCAGAGTGTGCAGTGGTCAGAACAAAGGAAATGTGTCCATAGTTGTAGATAGTATTTGTGGAGAAGCAATGCCATCTTTCTGGGACTAGAACTAGTTGTTTTCCTGTAACTTCCCACACCTGCTGTGGCAGGAATTCCTTTCAGGTAAGCATTGGCCAAACTGTTATTATTCATTCTTTAGCGGGTCAGAAAAAATATAAAACTCCACAATGTAGTACTTCAGATTATTTGGTAAGTCTTTCTTTAACAGGCAAACTGAAATATCCTAGTATAAACCCTGAGGAAGTTATAATCTATGCTAGGTAGGCTTGTATTTTAGTTTCTAATTATAAAATTATTTGGGGAATTTTTACAAATTGGAACATTAAAATTTGAGCAGTGAGCTAATTCTGGTCTGAATGGCTGGTACTTCAAACTTGTATCCTTAATATCCATTTATTTTTCACTTGAAAAATGAATCTGCTTATCTAAATATAGATAGAGGTCTGTCTTAAGCTACTGTTCCAGCTTTAATAGTGTGCCCTAAACTTACTGCTATAAATGGAATTTTAAAATGCAGAACTCTTTCTTTGGAGAAGGGAAACTGAGAAAAGATGTAGATTAGATATACCACAGATAAACAGGTTCAGGGATACATAAACCAGCAGATAAATTGTGCGGGGAGAGGTCTTTTTAAAATGGAACTTAATAGGATATTTAAAATTTATCAGATAGTGAGGCAATTTCAAATTAACATGAAAAAGATTCTGGGTGGCCAGAAATAAAGGTTATAAAAAGCAAAATACAATTAATCCAGTTCTAGGGAGGGCTGTGAACATTTTAAAGTAAATAGAACAGCCAGTTTTAAAGCTGGGATTTCTAAACATAGTATTTAAGTAAAACGTCCCATTTGTCAGGACTGACTGTGGGTACTTAATGCCTTTGGAAATCAAGTCCATGGACTGCAGTGCCAAAAGGCAGGAAAGCAAGTTTTAATATATAATCTGTAATGATAGATTTCAGGATGTTTAGGTAGGCTTTTTATGTTTTCCCTTAAAGAATAAATGGGCAGGAGGGCGATACTTGAGGCACTATTTATCCTGGGTTGCTCTGACTATCCCCAGAGGCAGAGGTTTGCGATGTTTTTGAGCTACAGCAGCTGTAACCTGTTGCATCATTCTTTTGCCAGTATCTGCTCGTTCACAAGAAGTTTCCTTCCCTCTTTGATCTCTTAAAAACTGAATCCAGTTTGCTGACTTGCTAAGTACAGACAACTGAAGCTCCTTTATAAATTTCTCCCAGTATTTTATTTTTGTAAGACCGCAAGCATTTATTGTGAACTGTGTTTTTAAAGTAGGGAATTGATTATCTTTGGCCTAAAAGTTCTAAGCAAAACATCTTGTATTTATCTCTTACTTACTCTTCTGAATAGTCTCAATTTATATGGACCTCGATATAAGTAAAGTAATTTTCTGAACAGTGTCCTGCTGGACCTTTCAGTGAGTTGGTACTGGAAAGTGAATGCCTCCAGCAGTAATGCATTAGTATAGAGTTTCCTAATAAGCTCTTAAAATCTTTTCTGCTTGTAGTACCTCGCTATGTAGAGCATTTATTGCTCTGAATTACTACCCTAAATTTTGATCTGGGTGCTGGCATCATGTAAAGTAATTTTCTGAACAGTGTCCTGCTGGACCTTTCAGTGAGTTGGTACTGGAAAGTGAATGCCTCCAGCAGTAATGCATTAGTATAGAGTTTCCTAATAAGCTCTTAAAATCTTTTCTGCTTGTAGTACCTCGCTATGTAGAGCATTTATTGCTCTGAATTACTACCCTAAATTTTGATCTGGGTGCTGGCATCATGCGTATCCTGAAGTAGCTGAAGCAGGGGTAATGTGGGCACTGTCTTGCAGTTCTCTCTATATAGAGTTGTGATTCAGCCTCTGTGTACATCCAGGCTGGTACAACTTTTCTGCTTCATATCTATCTCCTTTATGTTTTAGTGACGCTCTCATGCCTTCTCCAGCTTTCATAAAACATTCTTGCTTTGCTGGGGCCCAGCGTCACTTAAATAGTTCTCCATAGTATCAAATACAAACGACTACTTTTTACTTTTAGTGCCTTCACTTCACATTTTCTCTTAATTACATTGTCTTTCATTCAGTATGGAGAAGTCAAGGTCTGCTGCTGATGGACCTACGATGCTGCTGCTGGCCACACGCTTCATCTCTCTTTCTTGGAGAGTGCTCACTGCATTTGGGAGGATATCCCTGTAAACATCGTTTGTCGTCACTGCAGTATTCTTCTTCATTAAAATTCTCCTTGTTCAAAGACATTAAACATGTGCCTGCACATTTCTTCAGTGATTAGGTGTCTGGTATACTGAGACCAAGCAGTTTATCAAACAGTTTTAATGTCTCATTGTCTTTCTCCCCTCCTTTTGTTTTGTGTTTCAATTCAGAGTCCTTTGGGAACAGGACATCTTTTAATTCTAATACTGTAATTATTTTTATACTGTATTTATACGAAACCATAAATGAAGGTGTCTTGCCAGGATTGAGCCTTCTAGGAATTGCTGTAATACTGATTAATGTAAGTTGCCACATAAACTCCCATAGACTTCTGTGGTGCTAGGCATTTTGCCCATTACTTTTGTTATCTGGTATTTCTAAATAATTAGATTCAAAAAAAATAAATAGGTAGGTTTTACAACACTGCATTACTTTCAGTTTGAGCTGTGGACATATTGAATCTCTAATTAAATCAACAACCTGAAACTGAAATAATGTAGACTTTTTTCCCCCATTGTTTTTTTTTTTTAAATCCTAAAAATAGGTAGGTATGTGTCATCTTCCAGTCATTGGATGTTGCATGGGTTTTTTATGTGTCTTTCGTTTGCTGGATGCTTCCAGCACATCCATCTTTCTCTATTGCAGCTGCTTTTCCCTGCACTGGACAGGGATTTTAATTGGATGCAGCAAGTCCGGTTTTATTTCCTCAGTACAAGACAGGATGAAGGTGTTAAAAATAATATCTTGGTTATTATCTTGCCTCACTTCCCACATAATAAATCGTAACTTTTATTCATTTGTCTTTTGCCTTGGGTTTGATCAAAAAGAGGGGCAAGACGTAGAGTTACCAAGTATGGGTGGGAAGTTTAATGCTGTTTGTTTTATATTTCAACATAACATTAAAATTTAATAAGGGTTACTTTCAAGGCAAAAATTACTTGACCAAAAGATCGAAGAATGATGCTTGGTGGATTGCTGTCAGGGTACTGAGAGGTGTTTTATTCCTCTTTGCAGATTAAAGAAATACAATAGATAGACATTGGAAAAGCTCTGCAAAAGAAGGGGCGCTCTGATTGACATAACTGTGTGATAAAGCAGGCCTGAGTTTCTATCCACTGTGTTCATTATGTAGGGGATGATGTTTCATGGCTTGCTCAGATACTTGTGGGTGCTTGAGCAATAGATGGAGAGGTGTGAATTGTGGAATCTGGCTGCCACAGTTACAGTGCTGTGGCTGCAAACAAGCTAATATTTTAATCTTCCATTTTATTTCTTTTAGCTTTTAATTTGAGGATTTTATTTTGAATTAAGCTGTTACAATATCAACAAATCCTAACAAACCAGAATGAGAGACTGTCATTTCTGGAGAAGGGCTTGCAATGTTTAGGTGCTACTCTGGCTATGATTTGGGCCAGATATCACATTGGAAGATGGACTTGGAAGCCCTGGATTCATCTGAATCCAGGCTCTGTGTGTAATGTTCACGACTTCTGAAAAATAAACCAGAAAGTGTTCAGACAACATCCAGGTTCAGGTCAGGAATTGGTGCTTTCTACTCGAAGTTCCATGTTGACCTTTTCAACCCCACGTTTTGGAAGTCCACTGTGTTTGACATTAGAAATTAGAGCTCACAAATGACCAACAACCTGGTCTGAATTAAGACTTTCTTTTATTCTTCTGTTGTCTGAGAAAGATTTGGGGAAATTCTTGTGTAAATATAATAGCAGGTAATTTTTGAAATTCAGTTTGAGTTTGTGGGGATGGAGGTTTTTCTAACCATTGCAGGCATGGCATGGTTGGGATCTTACTCTTTGGAATTAAATACTGTAGCAACTGGAGGTAGGCCATAGTCTTAAACTTCCATTTGAAAGCACTGTGTGCTTTAAGACCGAGAGTTTACTCTGTTAGTTTATTGCATTTCACTATTGATTTGAAATCTTTATAATTTTTCTGTTGGTGTAAATGTAATAGGAAATCTGAATATAAGTCTTTTGATGGATATGATTGCTTTGTATCTTTAAAATAATTTTTAATAGTTTTTACTTGATTAGACTACATCCTTTAAAAAGAAAATTGTTTCTAATGAGAAGGAGTTATAAAAGCCATCTAGAATTGCATTCCAGGGACATTATATAAAAAAAGTAAATATTATGAATAATATATAAGGTTAAAAATGTCTCATTTGAATATTGCTTACTTTACTAACTGATATGTAATTGGTTTTTCATTTGCCTTCCCATTCTTCTTTCTTCCCTTCTTCATACACCTTCACTCTAGCTTTCATAAACTGCCTTAATTCCACACTCATCTCTGAGATTATCTTTCTCCTATTCGCTTGCTTGTTTGATCTCCCCAGGTATCACTGCTAAAGAAACAAGGTCATTCTGTGTGTCTACTTCGTTGAGCCTTATTATGGTACTAATTGCCTCAAATATCCTTTTGCTCTTAAGACTTTGGGATAACAGGCTTCAAACATTGTTATTACAGATCAGGTCATCTACCTGAAAGTCATTTGGGAGTGCTGCTGGACCGAGCTGAGGCTGAAATTAATTCTGTTAAAGAGAAATTCGGTCATGATTTAAAACAAGAAAAGCAAAAGCTTTGCCAGAAAGTCATTACTAAGCGAAGGCGGGAAATGCTACAAAAGGTAATTATTTTCAGTGTATTTATTTTCACAGGCTTATCGTGAGTTAAAAATGGAATTAATTGAAAATAAAATGTAGTTCTTAGGATAGGGGTCAACACTGCCAGGAGCATAGATGAAAAGAAGCATCTGTTTTTAGCTGTGTGCTGCCATGTGCCATATTAATTATGCAGTAATTAATAGCTGTTCTTTTAGAAAAACCTGCAAGAAAGTAATATAACTGGAGAAACTTGTGAAGCCAGTCTACCTAGTCTAACCTATCCAAGGGGTCTATGACAGTCCTCTGTAATATGCAGACTGCCAAAAGCCAAGTGAGGTTCTGGAGTTGGTGAGGGGGATGGCACGGATCTGTGATGGTCATTTTCTCTGGGTTTCCTAGCTATGTGTGGATTTCCTAGCTATGTGTGACTTGAATGACTTCTACAGCATAGTTAAAATTCAGCTACAAACCAAAACTATTTAAAAGATGCTGTACCTGTGGCTGCTTGCGGTAGGACTCATGTCACCTAACATCAGCCATCTGAAAATCAAGGCTAACTCCAAGAGCTCCAACGTAATAGCAGATGGCTTGGAGGTGATCTCAGATAAACGGGAGTTTTTATCCAAAGGTCCCTAGCTTTCTTTGCTTAAAGGATGTAGAAAAAACTATCTTGGATTAGGTTATATTTCTTTAGATGGCCGGAGTTAGGTGAGATGAATTTTACCTTTTGCAGGATACGTGTTTCAGTGTTTTCTGCTCTTTAACAAAAGGTATCAGTGCAAGGAGATACAGCACGTATAATGATGGAGACTTCATTTGTGGTATTTATTCTCAGTAGAGGTAGCTTTGGTTTAGCTTTCCACTGAAATTGCTGCGTGCTGTAAGATGGGGAAAATAAAGTAAAATAAACCCAACCTTCCCGTCTCCTCTCCCCCCCCCTTTTTTTTTTCCTTCTTTTTCTTCCTTAATGTTTGATCCAGATTAACATCTGGAATGCTGCCAGATCATTACAGTTCAGTGAGTTGGGATTATGTCAAACCACAAGATCACGCATTTGTTTAGGTGTTAGCTCTTCTACCTAGCAACAATCCAAATTTCTACAGGCCTATGTTAGCCCTTCTATCTAGCAGCAATCCAAATTATCACAGGCCTGCTAGATGCACACAAAGCAATCATGTTGAGGGCTAGGTAAGTCTCTGGACACTGAAAAGCAGTTTTGAGAATGCTGAAAAACAAAAAGTATGAAATTTTGTGTTGCTATGAAATACATTTTTAAAAAGCTAGAATGCTCTTAACTCTTGTTGCTCCTTTTGGCAAATGAATCAGCAGAAGGAGCATCGGAAGGAGCAGCTGTCACTTGGAGACCCCTTCAAAATTACTAAGGAGGTCACTCACTACCTGAACCACTGGAGAAATCTTCTGAGTGATCACACTATTGAATTTGAAGAACTTACTGAAAAGCTTGACAATGAAGCCAGTGAAGAGCTGAAAGAGCTTCTATTTAGTCTAAGAGAGAAAACTGTTGAAGAGCTTAAACGTGTTCAATATGGAGTATTTATGCAAGAACTGGTAAAACTTGGTGTGCCAAAGATGTTCCTCCTGGAAGCTGTGGAGGAGCATAAAAAAGAGATGGTTGTTAAACATGAACAGCTTGAAAGGGAAGAGCATGACAAGAGCATGGCCGCTGAAGAGCTGCTTCAGCTCACCAGGCAGAAGCTGAGCCAAGAACTGGAAACAAGCCTCTTGGAACAAAAAAAATTACGGAGCTGGGAGCAATCAGTATTCATGTAAGTATCTCTCAGTACCCTTTTCTTAGTTATTCTTGCAAGTAGAGATGAACTAGAAGTTTTCACACCTGTCTGGTATAATTCCTAATGGTAAGTTCTCTGTCGTGTACTCAGGAATTGATTTTTCACAAGTGCTCAGCCTCTGCAGCACTGGTGGGTGAGCCAGCACTCCTAGCACTGCGGTGGAAATCTCAGGAAACAGTGGTTTTGAAACAAAAAAGGTGGAGTGTTTTTTATGCTCCCTTTCACCCTATGTCAGCTTTCATTTGTGCATCTTTCATTATTATTCTCAGTCTGTTCTCAGAGGTCCAACACTTTGCAAGTGTCATTTAGTATGTCAGGCTTAATTAGCCCCACATTCAAATTTTAGAATCGTAGAATCATTGGGTTGGAAAAGACCTCTAAGATCATCAAGTCCAACCGTTCACCTAACACCACCATGCCCACTAAGCCATGTCCCGAAGTGTCACATCTATGTGTTTTTTGAACACCTCCAGGGATGATGACTCCACCACTTCCCTGGGCAGCCTGTTCCAATGTTTGACCACTCTTTCGGTAAAGAATTTTTTCCTAATGTCCAATCTAAACCTCCCCTCCAGCAACTTGAGGCCATTTCCCTCTCGTCCTGTCACTAGTTACTTGGGAGAAGAGACTGACCCCCCACCTTGCTACAACCTCCTTTCAGGTAGTTGTAGAGAGCAATAAGGTCTCCCCTGAGTCTTCTCAGGCTAAACAACCCCAGTTCCCTCAGCAGCTCCTCATAAGACTTGTGCTCCAGACCCTTCACCAGCTTCGTTGCCCTTCTCTGGACACGCTCCAGCACCTCCATGTCCTTCTTGTAGTGAGGGGCCCAAAACTGCACACAGTATTCGAGGTGCGGCTTCACCAGTGCTGAGTACAAGGAGACGATCACTTCTCTAGTCCTGCTGACCACACTATTTCTGATACAAGCCAGGATGCTGTTGGCCTTCTTGGCCACCTGGGCACACTGCTGGCTCGTGTTCAGCCGGCTGTTAACCAGCACCCCCAGGTCCTTTTCCTCCAGGCAACTTTCCAGCCACTCATCCCCAAGCCTGTAGCGTTGAATTTTTGTATCTTCCTTCCAGACACAATTCAAGCCTTACTTACTGGGTGCTCCTTTTAAGGTCTGCTGCAGTATTTCCCCATATTTCATAAATATACAGCACAGTAATGTACCTCTCCAGCTCATGGGCTCCACCCGTCAGACTTGGTGTATCTGGCCTGCTGACAGAGTGCCTTTGGCACCGAGCCCCCAGCCAGAGAGGTCATGACATGGGCAATTTTGCAGAGGGGTTTGCTTGCCCTAGGCATACATTTTGACCATCGCTACCTGCTGCGATGTGACCCTGGGGAGGTGGGAAAGTGAGTGGTGGCCTTGCCAGCATTGGGAGGCCTTGCTCGGGAAGAGGCCATGGCTGCAGCTGGGAGTCAACGTGCGTGGTGCCTCTCAGACTGAGGAGGAAGGTCCCTGAGAGATTTACACCATTCGTTAGCATTTCTTCTTAGCTTTCAAGTACATTTATGACTAGTTATTTTATTACCCGAATATTCGCACTACTACATTTCCTATACAATGTTCATTTACTAACAGACATTGTTAGAGACATGGAAACATGGAAAAAATAGTCTTCTGTCAAAATTGCAACTTTAGGGGAAGCAACTGGAACAGGTACACCTGTATTAGTCTGTCTGCCCCTGGAGCAAACTTACTGGGCATGAAAAACTGAACAGAGGGAAAAAAATCAGTTAAGGTTTCTCTTTCATACCTCTTCTTTAAAGCAAAACATATTTACATGGGCACTTTTGTCCAGAAAACGTCTTTGTGAGTTTTCCTGCTGCACAGCGTCAAATCACATAAAAGAAGTATGAAAAGAAACCTTGCCCATTGCATGTTTGCATTGTTAAAGAAAAAAATAAATCCATTTGTCTTGTTTTCATTCTAATTTCAAGGTCTTTGTATTTTATTCAGCATTTTAAATACTTTTCTATAAGCCATTTCAATGTATTTTTCAAGCTTGTCTTATTATATCTTATTTATATTGCTGCGAGCAGACCTGCAAGAGCAGGGAAGTAGATTGTATGACCCAGCAGGTCTTTCCTATTTCTAAGTTATGATTCCATGATAATTGTGTTCCAGCCTGCATTGTCGCCTGTTGTATTTTTTAAATGCTATCTTTGTTTACAGAAACAGTAAGCTGTTTGAGTTTTCCAGTGAGACACTGGAAAATAATGCAAAAAATGCAGCATTTGCACAACTTTTATCAAAAGCCCCTTAAAATCTGTCACTGTCTCTATGTTCAGTTCACTGTCTGTCAATTTTGATATTTTTGATGACAGATACCAACTCTCGTGTTTATGTTCTCATCTGCTATCTAGTTTTCACAAATAATTATTTTAAATGATAGCTTTTTATTTTTCTTGCTTATCAAAGAGACCATGAGTTAGTCCAAAATGTTTATGAGGATCATTAATGCTTAAAGTCCTTTTTAAACATGGGCATGACAGAACTGTGATTTACTGTGTTTGCTTTTCTATCTCTGTCTGTATATCTGTATATATCGATATATAGTATGGATTTTCTTCTGAAAGTCTAAAACAGCATGCAAAATGGTTAAGTATACTGTAAATGCTTGTTTGGAGTAGTATCACCTTAAAGTAAGTGATTTTTTGAAGAGAAAAACTTTATACGTTAAAAATTTAGTTTAATTATTTTAGAATTTAGCTGTACTTTGCTGAATCGGTAAACAGGAATAAGGATTTCTAAACTGAGAAATATTTTAGTGAAATGATGAGGTGGTATAGGCCTGTGATATACTGAATAAAAGCATCAGTCCTTATGGAACATACAGTATAATACACTTTTAAAAGAAAACTCCTTTTTAAAAAATATACTGTTCATGCTTTAAATACAAATACACTTTTTGGTAAATAGAGAAAATTTCCAAACAAAAAATTATGTGATTTTTTTTTTTTAAATGAAATATTCTAAGGAAATACTTCAGTCACAAGATAAGGTGATGTGTATGTAGTTTAAGGTTAGTTGCAACTGGAAGATTAATTTAGGCTTTAGCATGTGTTATTTTTAAGTCAACTTCAGCTTGACCTGAGGATCAGTTCCCCAGATTTCTGTGTTGAGAACCTTCCTGCTATAAAACCAGAACTTTGAGTGATTCAAATTCCTTCTGGAATGTATTCTGTGTTGTTCAGACTGCAAAAAGCTTTTTCACAAAGAACAGCTGGAACCCTTGTGGCTTGGTGATGGGAGGATTGACATATATGAGTTTATAATAAAGAGATATTTTTATTTTATTTTTTTACCTTCTCAGTAGCTGGGACTGCTATGTGCTGTGAAGCAGCACAGGGAGGCTTTACAGGAAGCTTTTATCTTGATTTGAGCCCTAAGTTCAGGGTTTGTATTGTCTGAAGAGGTGGAAGGATTCTGTGCATAGGAAATATGCTAAAAATTAATTATTTATTTTTAAAATATTCAAAAACTGTTTCCCCTTGAAAATTACATTTTGCAGTCCAGAAAGTTCTGTATGCAGAATTGAAAGTATCCTCAAGGATATTTTGACATGCTGAGCAGCTCAGTCCTATGATGTGTGGAATCATTAACTGATGTATGAATAGGACAAAAAAGGATTATCGTTGTCATGTAAAGTATTTGTGTGCGTGTCTCACATTTTCTGTAAAATTGCCTACATCACTGAACAGCAAATGACTTGTTTTCTAACAGGCAGCTTCTAAGTTTACCCCTGTCACTGTCAGAAGAGGAATTGCTTAGAATGAGGCAAGAGCTGCACTGCTGCTTCTGTCAGGTGGACAGCAGCTTGGCTTGGCCCAAGATAAGAGCAAGAACTTTGCTTCAGGCTTTCGAGGTGGAGCGGAGGAACATAGAACTGCTGAAGGTTGATCAGAATTTAGGATTGACCAATAAACAGGTGGGAACCATGTGGGATCAGTGTGGGGATGTGCACGGGGTTCCTGGGTGTGTCTGCAGGTTGTTAGCGTCAGCTGCAGATATGGGTTCATAGCTTCTCCATAGGTGTGACAGCGATGCACGCTTCTGTCTGTGTGGGTCGGTGGACCTTAAAGATAATTGTTTGGATAGCAGTTGAATAAGTATTTTTGTCACGTATGTGTGTGTGTAATTCTGCTGCTTGCATGTCCTCCAGCTTTCCAAAGAAGATGGCACAGATATAAAGCAGCAGATAGGTGGCCAAAAGGGGCTGCATCTCTGAGGAAAGTCATCTGAAATGCCAAAAATTGCATCAGTCCTGAGCCTGGCTCTGAATGTCAGGGACAAGTTCAGTCCTTTACAGCCCAAACTGAGGTTTCTCTGGCGCCCACTACACAGTACTAAATTTGGCACTAAAGCAACACAAGATATAAGGGGGGGGGTTAGTGGAATGGCTTGTACTCTGTTGTCCATGTAGGAAAGGGGTGAAGGGTGTTAGTTCCTTCAGTAAAATGTAAAACCTGTGGAATCATAACTTATTTTCAGTTCCTAAATAGGAGAAAAAAAGAAGTGTTTCCTGTATGAATTGTATCTGATACCACAATAAAAAGGAGGACTTTCTCTTGCTTTATTTTTGTTCAGTTCTGTTTTCTAAATGTGTAATCTAACTTCGGTTAATTGTACTAGGAATTAACCTAGTTCAAAACCTTCATAGTTTCTAAAGTAGCAAAAAAGGGAAATGACTTTGCAAAGGCTTATAGTTGAACAGATGTTATCGTTTCCCCAAGAGTACGTTATACTTGGTTGATATTCTTGTAAAGAAATATAAAGGTCAAGAATAATTTGATTACATGGAACGGTGGCCCTTAATACTATCATGGTTCATTTGTGATTCATATACTGTGTCTTGAAAACAATGTAGTTCTTAAATGAATATTCTTTGTTCATTTTTAACCGTACTGAGGAGACAACATATCAGTTAAAAATCTTATTATCACTGCTAAAGCTCGTGTAAAATCACATCTATCTGCTAGCGAGTTTTGTGGAAAGGGTGAAATATAATTCTGCTTGAAAGAAATTAAAAATGAAATTTCCAACTTTGAATGTCTGAAAGGAGTTGTTTGAATCAATAGGCAGTACCTTCATTTCAGAAATATTTTCTTAGTGAAAGCTGTCCTTGCCAAATGTTTCATTAATTGGTGGATCTGCCAATAATAGCAAGTAATAATCTTAATGTTAGCATCCTCATATACCTCTTACAAATAAAGCCTTTTGTGCTCATCTTCTTACAGCAGCATTCTAAAATGAAAAAAACAGGATCCAGGAATAGAAATAAGATAGATATTCTGAAGAAATCTTTACAGGACAGAATTTTTATTTATGAAGACTCAGTGAAAGATGAAAATTTGAATAAGGTGAGTGCAAACTCTTTTCTGTACTGAGGTCAAACCCTAGATCTTCATTAATTAAGCAATTATAGTTTCTATCAGTGTGAATAAGAACTAGATAAAAGGCATGAGGTGTAGTGGCATGATGCATCTCTCTACTGTTGCCTGCATTTGTCAAGATGTTGTATTTCAAACTTAATAGTTTTGGCTTTGTTTTAATTTTTGCTCCTTAGTTACAGAACTGATTTCATGTCTCACCTCTTTTTCTTCTGATGGTTCTGTGACTTGCCGTATGCATGATTGTAAGATGCCCCTAGATCTTGTGGTTTTCTTAGTAAGGCTTTTAAAACATACAACCATAGAGCAGTTTGGGTTGGAAGAGACCTTTAAAGGCCATCTAGTCCAACCCCCCTGCAGTGAGCAGGGACATCTTTAGCTCAATCAGGTTGCTCAGAGCCCCGTCCAGCCCGACCTTGAATGTTCCGGGGATGGGGCTTCTACCACCTCTCTGGGCAACTTGTTTCCATGTTTTACCACCTTCATTGTAAAAAATTTCTTCCTTACATCTAGTTTAAATCTACCTTTTTTTTAGTTTAAAAACATTATTTCTCATCCTGTTGCTACAGACCCTACTAAAAAGTTTGTTGGCACCTTTCCTGTAGGCCCACTTTAAAGTACTGGAAGGTCGCAATATGATTTCCCTGGAGCCTTCTCTTCTCCAGGCTGAACAACCCCAGCCTGTCCTCATAGGGGAGGTGCTCCAGCCCCCTGATCATTTTTGTGTCTCTCCTCTGGACCCACTCCAACAGGTCCATGTCTGTCTTGTACTGAAGACTGGAGAGCTAGATGCAGTATTCTAGGTGAGATCTCACCAGAGCAGAGCAGAGGGGGAGAATCACCTTTCTTGACCTGCTGGCCACGCTTCTTTGGAAGCAGCCCAGGATACGGTTGGATTTCTGGGCTGTGAGGGCACATTGCCGGAAGGTGCTTCACTGCATACTTCAGTTGAGCAAGATTTAATTCTTGGACCTCTCCTAATGCTACTGAAAACCCAGAAATGGGTTCTTAGATCCAAAGACTTTTTGGATAGGGTCTGAGTTTATTTGTACAGAGGTTATTGAAAGGAAGCCTTAGTTCTGGTGGGAATCTTTTAAAAGGCTCACAGCCCCAGTCTAAAGTTAGTCCTTAAGGAATGAGTGGGACCAGTGTCAATATGGGATTTTGGAGACTTTTTCCTTCTCTGCCAGCAAATGTTCCATGAGGTTCTTGTTCATGTTCCTTAACCTTTCTCTCCTTATCTTTCTCACTTGTAAATTATTGGTAATATTACTTTTTTTTTTATATCAGGAGAACATTACAATGATAACTGTGTTAGGCATAGGTGGTGCACAGCTATAAGAACTATGCAGAACAAGCAGATGTCATTGGTAGTTGAAATTGGTAGATAAAAATATTTTCACAAATTATTGCAATATCAATTTTAGTACCAATTTGAACAAAATTCTGGGTTTACACCTCTTTCCTGGGCTTTTTGTACTTATATCCTGAGAAATGCAAAATACTGGGTCAACATGTTTATTCAGAAATAATTTCTCTTTTATGTGAGAGCAACATATTGTTAGTATTGGTTGCAGATGATAAAAGCAAATGTTTATGTAGTCCAGGCAAGAATGCAACAGCCTTTCATAATTTAATAACTCTGATCCAAGAATGGAGGGATTTAAACTTTTGGCTTCAATACCTAATGCCCTGACTTCCAAAATTTAGATTTTTTTAATTTTTTTTTGTACTGTTGCTTGAAAGTACAGCAGAATATGGGCTAAGCACTTAGGTTACAAAAAGTACTGAATACTTGTTTGCTATGAGTATTGCCTTACATTTTTGTTAGAATCTTGTTTTAAAATTGGAAATTTAGCTTCTCTGATCCTCATGTTTATAGTTTTATATGCACCATGTGGCATACCTGTTGTTGTTCGAATTGTATGGCTGCACATTAGTTATAAAAAGGCAAATGCTTTGGGCTGTTCCCAGTAAGGAAGCTAAACTATTGTTAAGGAAAATCGTTAGTTCTCACATTATTGTTAGGACACAGAAGTATTGCAATAAACTTTATGGTGATCACAGAAGTAGAGTATTTTTTTCTTTTGGCTATAGCAATCTGTTAACTTATTCCTCATTTATAATCTTACACTTCTAAATTTTGCATTAATGTGAACACTTTTATCATCTAACTCAAAATGAACCATCTGAAGTTGCACAACCAGTTCCAGGCAGGTAAAAAGGACAACAAAGCAATACAGCTCTGCTGTATTTCTGCTTTCACTGCTGCTGTTCTCCTGCAGACTTCCCATGGTGTCGTGGGTTCTGTCTCACTACAGGATGGCTGTAAAATGGTTACCAGCTAATGCTTATGAAAGCAGCAGCAGGATGCATTTTGTAATACTGTAAAACAGGCATGATAGAGAAGAACAACTTATAGACAGGAGGTAGTGAGCTAGGAGGCCACGGCAAGAAGTTTGAAACCTAGTCTTGAAGCACCTGAGAGTATCATTGACCTTGCCGTGAAAAACTTCAAAAGCAGGCTGTATCTACTTGTTTTGTGTTTCACAGCTGATTTGAGCTGTCCTGTGCATGAGGAAGTAGATGTTCCTTTCCGAAACAGCAGTTACCTATCTCAGAAGAAACACACTGGTAAAAATACTGACGTTCTTTAGTCTTATTTTCCCTGCTGGGCTTAAAAAACCTGGTAATAACACTCGCATGAGAAATGTCTTTGGGGTTGCAGGTAATCAAGTACATTTTCAGATTATTCCCTTTATTTGTAATATTTAGGACTGAGACAACACTGGTTAGCACTTAGTCTGAACTAAATGTGGAGTTTAGAAGTCAGTGCTTTCAAGCAATGGACTAATCATAGTGCATTTACAGCATTTGCAATTTTTTGAGTAGTTTGGATGTTTCAGGTGGAATCAGCAGCAAATCTTCAGACCTACAGGAGCTGATTCTTCATAACCAAAGTAGTTTGACACTCTAATAATATTATGTCAAATAATAGATGTGAAGCTGTATTTTACAGTCTTCTGTTTGTTAAGGTAAAAGACTTCAAGAATGGCCAGGGGTTATTGGTTTATAACTAGTTTATAATTTAATTTGTAATCAATATTTGATCCAGCTTCTGCTGAAACCACTTCCTATATCACACTGAAGTCAGGTCTACTTGCAGGCTTTCATTTTCACAAGTGTCTTGCTGTTTACAGAGCTGTGATTTCAGAACTGAAAAGAGGCAGAAAGAAGCTCATGTGGCTAGGGGTAGATAGTTTTACCACTTTAGTGCTGCAACGTTTTGTTTGGTTAAGAGCAGTTAATTTATTGTATAATGTTGAATAGATGCTGAATGATAAAGCTGAACATCGTTCCCAGGTATTTGTACGTGCTTGACGTATGACTTCTTAGTAATATGCAAATAGTATAGAGTTTTGCCATTTGGACCATAAATCTTATGATTCATGGAATGTACTGAACATACCATATAAACCTCCTGTTATTTAAAGTGATTGACAAAGGTATGTGTTTCAGTCATCAATGTCGTCTCTTTTTGCCTTCGAATTCAGCTGCAATTAAAGTATACATTCTTGTGTCTACTTATAAGTGAATTTGGGTTGTCAAACTGCATTGCCATCCTTATTCATTATTCATTTTAATGGGTTCAAACTTACGCTAAAGGTGATCACTCATTTACTCATTCATCTATTCATTATTCATTCATCCGTCCCCAGATTTCATATATGTATAATTCATTTAAAATCCTTGTGTCTGAAACTGAGCCTCCTGTGAAGAAAAAAGCAAACTTGAAATTCAGTTGTGTGCACAGACCTGTCAAAACATTTCTGTGTCATTTTTCCATCTGCATTTTTAAAGGTTTATAGCATATCCTGTTCCTAAACCACAAATGCAGCCTTCAGATACTACTTACTAATTTTATGTCATATAAAACAAATCATACCTTAAGCATATATTTTCCCCTTTTTTTGAGATATTGTAAAAATATGTGTATTGTGGCAGGCAGTGACTTAAGCATGTAAATAAAAGCTGGAAGAAAAGAAGCACCAGCTCCTTAGTGTATGTGTGTTGTCATAACTCATTCAAGCTAGTAGTGTTGTAATAATTTCTATTAGTTAAGAAGCTCCCATTGAATAGGGAGCATCACATAGACTCTAAAGCATTAGTGCTTTTGAAAATGTACCAATTACCAATTTACTTCTAGTTAGGTAGGTCTGCTTGATTTTTTTTTTTTTTTTTCATTCCCTGAATAGGTACTATTGTAATGAAAATCATAATAGAAATAATTTAGTCTCTTGTGACAAAAGCATTGGTTGTTCTCATCAATCTTTTTTTCCTTGCTTTTAAGTAAATTCAAAACTCAATGTTGCCAAAGTTTTGAAAGGTGACTTCTGGCATTAGTTGTCCAACCTGGTTTATTTTTAACATGAATTGTCCCTTAAAGTGATGGTCTGCTGCAGTGATGCATCTCCCTGAACACCTTGCTAGATAGTAGTTGTTACTAGTGAAGTATTAAGTGGCTGGCTGGATCAGATATAAATTCCTAGCCTTCCTTTAGAAGCTGTTTCTTCTGGTATTTGTTAATATGTCTGTTTAACTGTTAAGATGTCACTTCCGTTCCATCCTTTCTTTTAGAATCACCTAATAGTGCAACAACTTTAACCACTGAAAAGAGGCATGAGGGCAAGTTAATGGAAACTTCAAAGCTGAGACCTTAAAAAATTGGACAGTCAGACAATACAGCGCTGAAATTGCTAATTGCTTTTTGAGAACATTGTCTTGTGTCATGTTGATTGGTAGTATAACAATTCAGTGTGTCTTTCAGAACAAAAGACATTTTATTTGAGAAATTAGTGTTTTGCACAGGCTTTTGAAGAAAGATTTTTTTTTTTTTAAATTATTATCATTTCTGTTTTAAATATTTGCCTTGGCACTGAGATGTGGAATAGTCTTGCTTCTAGACCTTA